TTCCCTCGGCGGCTCAAGTGCCCCGCGGGTTCCGGACCCCTGGCGCCACTGCCCCGCGCTCCAACATGCCACGTAAAGTCCCCACGCTCCGCTGCCCCGGGGCCTCGCGCGCCACGCGCTTCGACATTACGGGCCCACGCGCCCAGTTCAGTGCTTTTGCCTGGAGGTCCAAGTGCGCCTTTGCCCTTGGCCTCCTCCTGCCACTGAGGGCCAGGGACTGCACAGCCCTTGCAGCGTCAACTTCTTAGGGACAGCACGTGCAGCACCAGGCGCCTTTCCCTTCAGGCTCCTGAGCGCCACCGCCCCGGAGTCCCGGTGGCTCAAGTGCCCGCACCCCACCGACGCAGGGCACTCGGACCGGGTTCTGGGGTCCCCGCGTTCGGCACAGGCCGCCGGCTGGGAGCGACGCCTCGCCTCGGAATTGGTAGGAGCGGCGCTTTTTCTGGGGTTTGGGTTGGAGGGCACCGCCCGGGAGAGGGCGCCGCCGCAGAGCCGGCTTTTTAGGGTCGCTGGCCTCCGACCCTCCTTTCCTCTTTTCCTTCCAGTCTCTACCGCCGTTTCTTACCATCACAGAACCAAGCAAGGTCGGGACGAAACCCTGCTGGGGGCCCAGCCTGTGGCCTTTTCCTTAAGGGTGGGGAGCAGGCTCCGGAGTTGGGAGCGCCCACGCTGTAGAGGACTTATGAAAAGGAATAGGGTTAGGGAGTCATTCATTCGACAGACGTTGGCCCTCTGGTGCTGTGGAGGCCACCACTACAGGGACTTGGCCCCAAGAACTTACTTTCTGCTGGGAGAGGCAGAACCAGGAAAATCGCTGAGGCCTCCGAATGGAGCCTGTTAGAAGGGCGGGGAAGGACCCAGAGTAGGGCGCTGGGAGTGCAGACCAAGGGAGACCACTTTACACAGACCTCAGAGGAGGTGACATTTGCATACAGCCCTGAACAAGGACAAGGAGCCCATCTTTGGAAGATCAGGGAAGAGCGCTTTCCTGGTGGCTGGAACAGCAAAGGCAATGACCCTGCAGCAGGAGGGAGGGAGGTGTGTTTGAGGAACAGCAGAGACAGCAGAGAGGGCGTTGGGGAGAGTGCGTAGGAAGGGAGGTCCGCCTGGCTGTGTGGGCTTTGTGGTCAGGTGGCCCCTGGAGTGCACTTGGAGGAACACAGCTCTCTGTGGTGGGTCAGGCCCTGCCTTCCTCTCCCTTCTGAAAATTAGCATTTGTATCCTTTTTCCCTGCTTATTATCTGTCTGGCCACCAGACATCAAGCTCCATCAGGGCCAGGACTATGTGCTATCAGCATCTCCCACACTGCCTAGCACAGACAGACCATGCTTCTGCGCTGGTTTTTGGAGGAATGCTCAGGACAATTCTATGGGACAGATTCAATCGTCCCTGTGAGACAGGACTTCCCAAACACCACAAGATAAAGGTGTAGAGCAGGAGTTCTCAAACTTCTTATGCATCCGAATTCTCTGGAAGGCTTTTTAAAACCCAGATGGTTGGCCCCACCTCCTAAATTTCTGTTTCAGGGGGTATTGGCTGGGGCCCTTCAAACAAGTTCCCTGCTGATGCTGCTGGTCTGGGCATCATCACATTGACAACGGCTGATGTTGAAGACTTGAGACTCAACCCCGCCGGGTCTGACTTCAAAGTTCACGTGAGCTGCTGCCAGATCCACGGGGGTGGGACTCAAGCCTTGCTTCCTATTGTGTTGGGTCAGCTGGACCTTATGAGCACCCCTGGGAGGGGCTGTCCCAGGGGGATGGGCATAGCAGAACACTGTGTGCCTGAGTCAAATGTCAGGGTGACCTGTGGACAGAGGACCCCGAAACACTGGTGGAGATCTCAGTCGAGACAATTCCTCTCACCCCCCACCCACCCCACATACACAGACTCGCTTGCTGTGTCCAGGAGTTAAATCACTGCCTGATCTTATCCCTGACTTGTGCTAAACTATGTCCAATAAAATTCTTTTAAATCCTTTTAAGGAATTCCCTCTGCAGTTCCTCCCTCCCTTTAGAGCCTTCCAGATTTTCAGCTCGTCTCTTCTTATCTCCATTTTCCTCCTGAGAAGCCTTCCTTCTCAAGCTGTTGTGTGGAAATGGATGTTGCTGAAGCCCATGAGGGTTTCCTGAAAAGATGGAAACAGTCTGTTTGCTGCGCACCTACTAGGTGCCAGGCAGGTTGCCGGGTGATGTGTAGACGTCAGAGGCACCAAATGGGCCAGTTGGCAGGCTCTGGCTCACCAAGCTCTTTTATTTGACTCTGCTGGGTTAAAATTTTTTAAAAAAATTTTGAAAGAGTTGGCCAACTTTTAAAATTTGGGGAATTTCACATACATTTTTTTCTTTGGAAACACCAGGAGACTGACTGACACCCCTCACAGGGGCGGTGTGCTGATGCTAGGTTGTGTCTCCCCCTTTGTCTGTGGTTTGCCCTTCAGCCCCCCATCACGTCATGTAAGTTACCGTCGTACTTCCGGAAGCGTGAGCTGCTGACTTCTCGTCTCGGTAAATTTTCTTGGGCCACACAGTAAATGGCAAAGCTGAATCTGAATCCAGGCCTGGCTGACCTCAAAGCCAAGCCTGTCACAGAAAAACAAGCTGCTAATAGTATTTGGGGGCAGGAGGAAGACGTGGTGTCACTGGCCCCAAGGAAATCCCTTAAAAGGGATTTACTGTCAGGGGTTTAAGAATATGCCTTACTTTCCATTCATAACCCACTGTCAGTAAGTCATAAAAGTTCTGGGTTGTTTTTCCATGGTCCCAAGGGTTATCCAGAGCTGTCCAAACTTTTAAATCCATCCTGCCCCTTGAGATGAAAGGCTTAGATTTGCAAGACAACTGATTAGAGTTAGGATGGGGGCGGCGGGGGGCCCTTGCAGGGGGTGGGGTCTTCTCCCTTAGCTGTCCTGGCAGGGCGTCCAGCTGGGGTGTCCCCGGTGCATGGCTTGTTGTAGGAAAAGTACTACTTCAAGAGTCAGGATGGTGACGGGGGGGACGTTCACCTGTCACCTCCTCCAGCACTCTTTCTTCTGTGCCTCAGACGCCCCCAAGCAAGCCGCCTCCCTCTTCCGGGAGGGATCTTCCCATAAATTTCCACACAAGTGTTCCTTCGTGTCTCAGTCAGCTGTCACTTCGGGACTCCTAGTGCAGAGGGGGAGGTTGAGGCATGCAAGGGTACAACTTAAGTCCTTTTTTTTTAAGTTGCTATTTTGCTTATCATGGATTTGTTTTGCACTCATTTTGATTCTTAAAAAAATGTTGCCTCAAAACATTATTTATCTTGATGACTGAGCTGTTTTGGCACCTCCCTAAATTTTGCACCCCAGGGGAGTGCCCCACCTGCCTCACCCAGGTCCCAGGTGTGTTCCTAGTCTGGAGTGCTCTGGAACAGGAGTCAGGAGACCTGGGTTCTGGGCCAGCCTGTGCCACTAGACTAGCCACGTGACTGGATGCCAGGCCCCCCTGGTCCTTCACCATCTATCTGGGGAAGGGATGAAAACGACAAGTTAGTATTTTAATTTGATGTTCTAGAATGACCCAAGACACCCACTAGAGCTTGGCTAGGTCATGCATTGTGTCCATCTCCTGGGGCTTTGCGGTGTTTTAAGCCTCACTGACTGGTCATCATGGGATGTCACTGTCCTTTTCCTGACACCCCATATGAGGTGTCTCTCTGTGCAAAGACCAGATCTGCATGGCTGCGGCGTGCACTGAGCACTGATGCCTTTGCTCACTTTCCCCGAGGGAGTTGTTCAGTTCTGGAAGAGTGGGCGTGCACCCTATTCTTTGACGTCTTGCTTCTTATTCTTTGGTTTCATTCATTGGATCATGCGACACACATTCATTAAGGGCCTTCTCTTTGCCAAGCACTGAGCAAGCACTCGGGATACGAAAGACACATTTCCAGCTTTAGAAGAGCTTCTGTTCGAGTGAAGGATCCTGCACGTGAGCACATCCACGTGGAGCACATCCACGTGGAGCAAAGTCTGTGTGGGATAGAGGCTTC